GTTGCAGCCTTCTAAGCTGTGTTCCTTGGTCAGTATTGGGGGCCTTTACCCTAGTCTATGCTCCCCTCCAATTTTTTTTTTTGTAGCTCTGAGGATTGAATCCAGGCCCTTTGAACTGAGCTACATCCCCCGCCCTTACTCTATTTTTTGAGACAGGGTCTTGTTAAGTAAGTCATTCAGCTGGGTTCAAACTTGTAATCCTCTTCCCCCAGCCTCCTAGAATGCTTGGATTGTACATGACAATACACAGCTTTTCACCTCTTTTCAAAATCTAATCTCAGCTTAGTAAAGATATCTGATACTTTATTATGAGATATTAATACTATGAATACTGAGTTACTTTCCTTGGGGATCCTGCCATTTATGACAGTATAAATCTGCCAAATTTATAAAGTCAAAATGTTGAATTTCCAAGACCAATATCAGGCTAGAGTAAGGACAACATTTGGTAGGAAATTCTTTCTAAAGTTTCCCAAATTAAGCTCCATAGGAAGCTATGTTTGTTTAAGGACAACATTGTTTCAGAGGATTGTCTAGATTTTTCTGCAGAGCAATTATTTTTCTATATAAGACAGCAGACTGAGTGTTTTTAAAGCAAAATACTAATCCTGAAATTGATGTTTGAATATGTTATGTCTATTCCAAAGACACAAACTTCAAGGCCCTCTTTTCCTTCTCTTTCTTCAGTGAACTGAAACAGACCCAAAGTGTTTCTGCTTCTTTACTGAGTGTTCTAGGTATTCTAGGTATTATATTCATGATAAAAAACTTTTGTTTGGAAATTTCTACTATCTTCAAATTTTCACTTCGATTTTTGCCCAGTTGTGATAGGCTTATCCTTATATATCACTGAATTACACCTGTAATCAAAGAGGACTATTGTGAAATAGATGACCAACAGCTCAGTACATTTGATAAGCTCATATAAAGTAGAGTTTATGGGGTCCTATTCACTCCATGACACCAGTAGTCAAATTATAATACATTACATATTTATCGTGAGGTGTATGGAGTTATAAATTCAGCCTGTCTGTGAGCCATTTTATATCAATATTTCCCCAACTATGTTTGACACTCTATACTTAAGGTTCAGCCAGTCATTATTTCAGGTTCCCACTTATAATTCAGTCCTGCCTGGTCTCTGAATTTGGATGGAAAGACATATTTATAGGCAAAGAGTTCCAAGAAAGGAAAGATAGAAAATAATTTCTCCTTGGATCAGTCTAACTCCAAAGAAGCTCCAGGAATCTGAGATTTTACTGACATATTGGATAGGCTTGAAGACTAAGGCCATATTGCTTGACAAAAACTACCAACTCTTGGAAGATAGAACAACAGAGGTTGGGGACATATGAATAAAGCCAGATTCTTTAATTGAAATTAGCCTTAGAAAGTACAAGCTTTTAAACACCAACCTGGGCTTTCAGCAATTGCAGTATGAATTTAGAAGAAACCCTGTTTTCAAGTATAAGCCTCTCATTGAGCTGTCCAGGGTTCTGACTTCCACACAAAACATCTGTATTTATCTTTCTTCTTGATCTTCATGCTGGTGTTCTGCATTAAATTCCAAATATTTTGGAGATAATCTGTGATCGCTAATTTTGACTACCTTTTGAGTTTACATTGAGCTAGGATCTTGTTAATGGGATATTATATACAAGCTAAAAAATAAATTATAGTGTTTCAAGATTTTAAATTGGTGATCATGAGCAAAAAGTCAGACACTTAAACTTTAACAACAGCTGTGTTAGACAGGTGACTTTGAAGCAGTCTCTGAATTTTAAGAACTTGATTTTCTCATCATTTGTGGACAATAAAGTGTGAAAAATATTTGCTACATAAATGACAAAAATATAATCCAAAGAGCACTTAAAAATACATGAGAATTGGAAAAGTTAGCACAGGGCACAAAAGGTAATTCACCAAGAAAGAAGGACATATTATCCAAATGATGCATAAAATTGAACTCAAAGTGGTTTTAAGACCTAAATGTAAGACCTAAAACTGTAGTACCTTTAGGAGAAAACATAAGTTAAATCCTTTGACCCAGGAATATGCAGTGGTTGTTTAGATCTGACCCCAAACCTATAAGCAACAAAAGAGAAAACAGATATATTAGATTTCATAAAAATATTAAACACTTCTGTGCTGCAAAGAGCATCATCAAGAAAATAGAAAGACAACCCACAGAAAGGGAGAGAAAGATTTACAAATCATGTTTTAAATCTCCTAGGTTTTCCTGAGAGAATATTTAACACGGGAACTTCACCTGGTTACTTTTTGCTATGTATAACCTTGATGGTAGTCTTCACAGTTACATCATTTTCTCCAGCCTCAGATGTCACAGCAAAGGCATAGCCAGGTGTATTATCAATCATACTGAGTAGGGCCTTGTCAAGAGCAGCACACTGCAGGAGAATATGGTATCAGGAGGGTCCCTTTATATTGTGGACAGCTAGTTGTTAGGTAATTGGATTAATGAAGTTGTGGAAGAGTTAGGCTAATGGACTCCAGAGCCTCCAGCTCAGTTGTGCTGCTCCTCACCATAATCTGTTTTTGAGGCCCTCGTTGCTGCCCAGGGGTCTGCTTTGGCTGCTGCACCGGTACAGGTGCAGGGTTCTAGCAGTGAGATTTTTAAATGATGCAGCTGACTTGGAAAGTATCCTGACAGTTCCTCAAATAGTTAAACATAGAGTCCTCAGGGGACTCAGCTATTATGTTATTATTATTGTGTAGCTTGAGATCAGATCTGGGGCTTTATCCATGCTAGATGAGCATTCTACCACTGAGCTACACCCCAGCCCTGACCTAGCAATTCTAATTCTTGTTTTATAAACAACAAAAATGAAAACATATCAAACAAAAACATGTAAACATCCTTAGCAGCATTATTTGTAATAACCAACAGAAGGAGGTAACTTAAATATCCATCAACTGATGAACGGATACACAACTTGAAGTATATCCATACAATGGAATATTATTCATCATTCAGAGGGATGGAATATGGTACCAGGATAAGCTTTGAAAATGTTAGGGTAGGTGAAAAAATAAATCACAACAAGCCATATGTTGTATGATTCCATTTCTATGAAATACTCAGAATAGGCTAATCTGTGGTAACAAAGAGATTAGTTGATTGCCTAGGCTTGAACTTGGGGTTCAGGAAGAGTTCAGGAATTACAGCTAGTGGGTATCGAGTTTCTTTTTGGAGTGACAAAAATGTCTTAAGTTGCTTGTGGTGATGGTTTCACAAGTCTGAATATACTAAAAACCTTTAAATTATACTGAAAATTTAAATTGTACAGTGAGAGGGTTAAATCTCAATATAACCATTATTAGAAAGAGCAGTACAACTTACTGAGCACATAAAATCTCCCAATGAGTAAAATTTAAGTATCTTTAACTGGACATTTCATCACATATTCTCAAATTGATCAGAATCTGATGAAATATAGAAAGAAACTAGAATCGTATTCCAAAACTCTATAACTTTTTAATCATAAGGAAGCTAAGAGGCTTGGATAGGCATTCTAGTTTTTAAATGATGACTTTCATTAGTGTTGTTTCTCAGAGAAACAAAATAACGTAGTCCGTATTATTCTGTAGGTAACTCCTTCATCATACAATGCTCAGATATTCAGTGTCCATTAATAATCATTTAGCATTATATCATTAGAGTTTTCTGTGTTCTTGGCATATTAATAATGAAACTGAGAGATTCTCATCTGGTATATCTGATGCTTTAGGGCATTCTTAACAATAGATCTGGAAAAAAAGCTCCCGATTACACAACTGGATAAACTTCATGGAAAGATGCCAGTAGAATAAGCTTTTCATCTTAATGATTTCTTAATTTTTTATAAAAACTTAACTTTTCATAGAAATATTTTTAAAACCTTGGTGCTCCAATGATAATCAAGAATTTGTTGTTGGAGGGGATAATGTTTATATTTTTATACCTTTATTGAGGTACAACGATATACACTAAATTGCCCATATTTGCAGTGACAATTTGATGCGTTTGTGAGCCATCCTCACAATAAAGATGATGAACATGGTCATTATTTGAGACAATGTTTTTAATACATCAATGTCAAATTTTGGTGACCGTTAGACCCCTTGGGCATCTGGCATTGGGAGGCCATATTTATTGCCTATTTAGTGGTCCTATTTTCTCTCATTGTCATCTTTTTGACATTGGTGTACTAGCACAACAGATTCGGCTGAATCTGGGATTTTCAGTTTTAGCGTTTTTGAGGAGCATCTCGACGGTGCTGTGGTTTGCCTTTGAATACAGAAATTGACTGGTATGAATCCCTGTCCGTGCACATGGCGGCTCAGACTCCCACATCCTACAGTGTACCCTGCAGCCCATGCCAAGCTTCCTCAACATAAGCCTATTTCTTGATCTTATATGTGAGGCTTTAGTTTTGCAAGGCACACCATTTTATAAACAATTAGGACTCAATAAAATACAAGGCTTGTTTGAAAAGGTGGATCCAAGTACGGAGTAATACAAGGCAAATAAATTACTTTCATCCTCTGTTAAGTGTCTTCCCTCCTATCAGATAGTACAGTGAAGAGGAAGGAAGCAACTTGGAAAGCCCAGCTTCTCAAATAAAGTAGACCCTGGGCAGTTTGTAGGATTTTTGGCTGAGTGTTTCTGAAAGGTGACATAGCTACTTCTGTCCTGCGTACTGACATCCTATTTGTCTTCAGGTCTGGTCAAGTGAAGGTCTGGAAAGCTTGCTTGCATTTACTTATTTATTTCTGGAGTTTCTCCAAAGAGCTCATCCCTGTACTCCGCAATTTTCAGCCTCGTTCTGGAAACAGTTTAAGGGTGCAGGATTAAACCCCGGGGTGCGGCTCCCTGCTTTCCGTTTGCCGCCCACGTCCATCTCCAGCCCCTCCCCGCTAGACCTGTGCTCCCTCCGGCTGACGCTGGTCCCCCTCAGAACCATGGCCCTGGTCTCCGGCCTGCTTTCTTGGCCTCAGGTCCCAGGACAGCGATTGAGACTTAACTTGTAGAGTTGGGAGGGCGGCTGCCCGTCAGTCACGCTGCGGCTGGAGGCTGCTCTACCTGCTGATCCTCCCCGCGTTCCGCCCCCAGGGAAGGGAAGGTTCTAGGGGATGTGGCGCAGCCCTCGATCGCCGCCTGCCGAGACAGCAGGCCGAGGGTGACGTGCGCGGAGCGGGGCCAGACGGAGCAGGCCATTTCCACCTGCGTAATAGCAGGCTGGGGAGTAAGGGAGGAGCGCGGGCGGCGGCGCGGGGGTCCTGAGAGGAGGAGGAGGAGAAGGAGGAGGAGGAGGAGGAAGAAGAGGGGGAGGAGGAGCCGAGGCGCTCGGAGCCGCAGCCGGCGGCTCGCCTGAGTTGCAGCAGCAGCGCAGAGACTCCGCAGCCTCCCGACCCGAGCCCCGGCGGGGACCGCAGCGCGCGCGCCCGAGCGCCCGGCCCCTCACCCGGCCGCGCCCAGCTGCCGTCGCCGCGTGGGGACCTGGTCGCCAGCCATGGCCGCGCCGCCCGATCCGCGAGACGAGCTGCCGCCGCGGGCCAGCCCCGGTTCCCAGGGCTTCGGGGACCGCGGGGAGGGCGATCTCGGAGCGCGGACGCCGACCGGGGCCAGAACGGCGCCACAGGCGGGGGAGCCCGGTCGGGGATCGGAAGCCGGGGCTCGGGAAGCGGCGGCGCGGGAACTGGGCACGAGCCCCGCCCGGCCGCCGCCCGTTGCCATGGAAACCGCATCCACAGGTAAGGCGGGCGCGCGCCCCGCGGATGGCGTGGGGACCCGGTCCCCGCCCGCGCTGCGCTCCTGCTCGGCGCCTTCCCGGCGCTGTGAGTGTTACCGTGATCCTGCGCTTCTGAAGGCTTAGACGAAGGCGGAATGCTGCCGATGCCTTTATTTCCTGATCGTTGTTACTTGGACTTTAAACACTGTCATCACTGGCAAACCGCAGCATCCCGGGTGCAAGTTTCTCCTTCCTTCCCACAGGGGCCCGGGGCCATGGGCCCCGCGTGACCGGTCGCGGTGCTTCCCCGGGGCGCCTTCGCGCCGTAGACTCTGACAACAAAGCGGCTTCCCATCGACCCGGCTCGGTCCAGCGCAGCTGCGTGGCTTCACGCTTCCCCGCCCCTCCGAAGCCCCTTTCCATCCTCCCCTCCTCCTCTCCCCGACCCCCGGGAGTGTGCGGGTTCCTGGGGGTCGGGGCTTCCCCCATCCCGAGCCTGTCTCTCCTAGCTGTTCAGATGCCCCCGTCTTGCAGAGCACTGAAACTTGGGACCCCGAAATGCCACGGTCCTGGCTGCGTGTTGGAGGGCTTGGGTAATGGTGAGTGGACGAGGTAGTTTCCCCCCAGACGAGTACAGTTTCCTAGCAGAGGAACTCTCCCTGGCGTTTGGAAATTGCCCTGGTTCGGCCTCTGCCCTCTGTTGTCCGCAATCCGCCCTCGCAGCCGGAAAAGACCGGGAGCCCAGGCGCACCCCAGCCAAAGACACCGAGAGGCGTGGCTCTGGGCTGTTTCCTGCGGGAGCTGTGGGGGTGCTGTGTTGTGCTGTGACGGAGAAAGCTTTGCTGTGCTGGAGTGGGAGCCGAGTAGTTTTGGCAGTGTAGCGGGAGGAGGCCTGTGGTGTGGGTGCTCCTGGAGGAGGGGAAGGGGGCGGGACGGGCATCTGCGCGCTTGGCAGCTGATTTAGGGAAACCCCTTCCTTAAGCCACCCCCTCTCTTAAGGGTTATGTGGAGTGCCTTAGGTTGTCTTACCTCCGCTGTCCCGCAAGAGACAGGAGCTGAGGAAAGGCGGTTTGTAGAAAGCACCGAGTAAAATTGGTCAGTATTCTGAAGGGGAGGGAAAAAGTGGGCATCACATAGAAAAAGAATAAAGGAGAAAGGAGAAGGCAGAGGAGGAGAAAAGTGGGGGGAAAAAGATTCAAAAGGTGAAAATTCCATATTTCATTATGGGTCGGGGGTTAAGTCCAGGAATGGCTAACCTGTCTCAACTTCTGCCTCCAAATGAGAAGACAAAACTCCTTCCAACTGCAAAAGAAGATGGCAGTGGTAGGTTTTGTTATTACCACTCTTTGATGAGGATGGCTCACAGTCCACAGCCTTTATCCACCATAATCAATGTACATCATCTTTATAAACATTGCCTGCCTCCATTCATTTCACCGTGGATAGCTGAAGGGACAGAAGGCAGCTAAGTGCCCTGTGCTAGGTAACACGCTGTCCCCTGAAATGAGCTACCATACAGGAAGTGCTTAGAGCATGTTGTGTACGGGGTGCAGTGTGATGCTTTGGTATAGTCTGCGTTGTGGATGACTAAATTAAGCTAGTTAACATCACCATCATGATTTTTGTGGTAAAAACATCTAGAATATCTTAGCCATGTTGACTTATACAATGCATTGCTACAGAATAGTGACTAGACTGAATAATGCGTTTACCATTTTAGCACTATTCTTATAAAACATTTGACTTTGTTAAATATGCTAAGGTTTTCTATCCTGGGCAACCAAGGCACTAATAAGATCAAACCAGGTGGGAGGAGAATGAAAGGATTAATGACGTTTGAGTGGAAGGAGCATATTTTTGAATATTTATATACAAATGTTTTAGTTTATAATTGTTTATATGTAGATGTTGGCTGGTTGTTTTAAACCTGTGTATTTCTTATTAAATAGACTGAATGGGCTGCTATAAGAAAATTGGATGCTGGAAATGGTAGCCAAATAAATATCTATATCTTGAAAAATCCAAATGAAATCTGAACCAGCTTTCCTGTCTGTTATTTTGGCAATTCTATTGCTATAAACAAAGTCAGCAGGAGACTCCTGAGCTGAATTAGAGACAGAATCCAATGATACCCCATTAAGCACACTTTGCATTTTAAAATTTTACTTTGCTTTTGGCTTATAAATAGAAATTAATTTTCTCATAGTGCTGGATTCTGGGACGTCCAAGATAAGGGGCTGGCTGCTTCCTGGCTCACAGAGTGTCATCCTTTAGCTGTGTCCTCACAGGGCAGAAAGCTACTTTAGTAATTCTTTAAAAAATAGAGCTCTTTGGAACTCAAGTCAAACCAAGGAATTACTTAGGTTTTGAGTGTAATGCACTGTAAATGGATCTTGAATATTAATATGTAAGTCAGATATTGATGTTTTAAAAACTGTTTTTCTGAAAAAACACCACCAATCATGCCATCTGGACTGGAATTCTGTTATTTATTTTTATACATTGATGATAAAGTTTTCAAAGAAATATTTCCAAAAATATTTCTCAGTAATGTCCTGAGATTACTGTAGATTTCAGTATCATCAAAGTTGTACCATAAACCCTCATCAGTACTGTATTTCAGGTATTCTCATTGCTTTTGTCCTTTTTGTGGCATAAAAATCTTCTCAACAAAAAGCAGCACTGCCTTCATAAGCTGCAATGTTTCATGTCTACAACTGATAGTGGGCATATGAAATGATGTCTGTTGCCAAGGCAACATTTAATACACCATGTGTGGGCCACAGCATGTTAGAATTGTTCATCATGGAACAGCGCCATCATTTAATAACTTTATACAAAGGATGTTAAGAGCAATTGTTTGGTTTTTTTCATGGTCAGTTATTTTACTCCTGGAAACTATTCAAAAGGAACATAAAATAACAAAAGGATAGAAGAATAGCCCTTTGTTTAAAGAAAGAATTTAAAATAGAACATTTAAACAAAATGAAACGGCAAGAAGTTAACTCATTGTCTGCTTTGGGAATTAACTCATTTACTGCTTTGTGCATGGAAGGCAGAAATGAAGAATCAGGTGGGGAATGGTCAGGAAAAAGCAGCCCATTGTTGTTTGCCTCAGTAATACTGAGATATATAATTTGATTTAAAATCCTACATAATTACAAAAAGAGATTTTTCGAATTTACATTACTTGAGCCATGGAGCTTTTAAATTTGTATTTTACAAATGCTAAAGCTGATGCTTTATAACTATTCTCTATCATGATTTAGATAATACTGAGACAATTTTATTCACCTGTGTTTATTCTGTTCAGTATAACAGCTGTGGAGGCTCCATAATGCATTACCAAGTATCATAATTTGGACACTAGATTGACAGTCTTCAATTTTGGGTGCTTAATAGATGCACGGACATCTTTATTTGGATTCATTTCCAGCAATCCTTTCGAGAAACTATAAATTCTAGTCTTCTGTTTCATCTTTTGAGAAAGCTGTGGTGTTACTGAAATAAGAAAGAGCACTATACTTTGCTTTTACAAGCTATTAGAGAATATATGAGAAGAAAAGAGTTTAGAAACCTGATGCAATTAATTTTTCTGGACATAGCCTCTGGATAAAATCAATGACATTTCTGACAGTAAGTATAGTAACCTGTCCATAAATTAAAAATTAGAAACATTTCTGTACCATAACAGTGCATTGAAAGTGAGTCTCAACCAAGCCTTTCAGCGTAACTTTCCTTTTGTGAACTTGCCCATTCCAGGAAATCCATCCCTCTCACTGCTTCTCAAATATACCATAGGCTTTCTGGCCCCATCTCTTTTCTCAGCTGTCCATTTAGCTTCTAATTCTGAGGGCTTTGGGGGCAGAGCTGTTGATTATCTTCCTCATTTTACTGCCTATTTAGGGTAGCATGGATTACAGAAGGTTTTTATTATCTGGAAACTGAGAAAGCATAGTGGTTCGATGTAGCAAACATTTATTGAATGCCTCTTTTGTGTAAGGAGTTTTACTAAACACAGGTCATGGATTCCTCAGACATGAGCACCTTTCTGCTTCACATCAGTATTTACTTCAGTCAAGCGTTTCTCTGTGTCATTTTTCATTTTCCTCATTCCCAAGTCATCGCTAGAAGCGTGACAAGAAGGGCATTGTAATTATCCAACTCCATCTGCAAAAGAGCATGTCTTAGTTTTCTGAGGTCAACACAAGATAAATAAATAGAAGCACAGCTTCTCAGACTATATAGCTGGAAAATAAATCTCTTTCTATCACTTATCTCAGTCTGTGATTCATCATAGAAATGACTGTGGTTGAATATTGCTACATGATCTTTGGCTTTGTTAGTTCTGATTTAATTTTACAATGAAAATAAATCATTTCAGTAATGACTACGGAAGATTGGAAAATTTAAAAGGCAATGGAAATAAAAGACATAGTTCAAGATACTATACACACGAATGTTCTCTACGGTCATTATGAAGAACATGGTCAAAAAACCCATTTTGTTTCTCCAAATACTGTTAGAGGGCAAAGGGAACAGTGCACAGAACAGGAGCTGGAGAGCCTTCTGTTTGTGGGAAATTGTGTATGAGGCTGTAGTGACTGTGTATGAGAAAAAGAGGGAAGAGCTATTCAATTAATATTTGACCTTATGCTTTAGAGTGGATAGTGACTCTCAAGTTGAGAAAGCCAGAATATATAGAGAGAATGGAAGCCTAGGAGAGAAAACAGCAGGTAAAATTCTGTGTTTTGCTTTGATGATCCACTTTTTCAGATCCACTGACTTTATGTCTCATATAGAAAGACTGTTTTAGGCAGTTTTAAAATAATTTTGAATATCTTTTAAGAAAAAGACTAATGCCAGAAAGTTAAAATGGGTAAGTGATTTTCAGAAACTTATAAGGGAATATATTTGATGGTGATGGCTGGTAGAATCTAAGAATATGTTATTACGCCAAATATTTATAAATCCTCAGAAAAGAAGGAATATGTTGATGACCAGAAATTACCATTGGTTCACTAAAAACTAATGTCTGTACAACATAATTTTCTTTTTTTACACTTGAATCATCTCGGCAAAGCACTCAACTTAAAAAGACACAGAAAGCATCCTCTTTATTTTTGCAAATAGAACAAAATTTTAAAGGATGGTTGATATGCTACAGGATAGTATTTCTGTGAAAATAATCTTGACTTTATTGTTCATCCAGAAGAAATAACATCTTTTTATTAAAATAATTTTTTGGACCTCATTAAAAAAATTCCTTTTTAAGCCCTGATTCAAAAAATCCCTTTTTGAAGTAGGAAATACATGTACATAATATTAAAATTTAAAATGTACAATAGAGTATACAGACAAAAGGAAATCTTATTTAAACCTTACCTTCCAATTGACCACTGCCCCTCTCCTATGGTAACCATTGTTATAACTTTAACCAAGATACTATCATTTAATTCATTCGTGATTGAACTATTATTTATTGAACTAAGTATTGTTTTAAGCACTGAAAAACACTAGAGGGGGGAAAAGTCATAAAATATGTCTCCCATAAAGTATATATCTTTGGGTAGGAGAGAAGGGAGGAGAAGGAGAGGGAGGGGAGACTGAGCAGAAGGTTTTTGTCAAGGAACGATAAGTACTGTGGAGAAAGTTAAAACAGCAACAGGAATTAGAGGGTCGCTTAGAAGCAGCAACGTGAAGAAAGGATAGAACAAGTCAGTCAGTTGCCTGGAGAAAGACCATTTTGGGCGGAGGGAACAGCCCTGGTGTGAGAGGCCTGGCACATTCGAGAAGCACTGGGAAGGGCAGGGAAGTGGAGTGAGCAAGAGAAGAAGGGTGAAGGGTGAACAAAAGGTGAAGGGTAAAGGGTAATGCGGAGATTAGTTCCTGGTTAAAACTTTGGACATTACTTTCAGTGCAATGGAAACCACAGGAGAGATTTTAGCATGGTGGAGCATGTTTAGAGTTAAGTTTTAAGTTTAATGCATTACTCTGGTCACCGTGTTGAGAATTCCACATGCGGATGATGGTGGTAAGTGTGGAGCAGGAATGACCACTGTGACAATCAGAGCAAGAGATCGTGGTGGCTTGTACAGGGAGAGCATTGGAGGAGGTAAAAAGTTGGAGTCTGGATGTATTCCGAGGGTGAGAGGATATCCTAATGGATTGTGGGTGGCCTGTGAGGGATAGGGAGCAAAGATCATGCCATGATTTCTGACCTAAGCAGATGAAAAGAATGGAGTTGCTGTTGGCAGGGTTTGGGAAAACGTTTAGGGAAAGCAGCTTTTAGTGAAAAACCGGAAGTTTGGTTTTGTAAATGTTAATTTTGAAATGCTCATTAGATGTCCAGATGGAGATGTCACGTTGGCAATGTAGAGTGGGGCTGGAGTGCAGACTAGGGATGTACTTTGGGAGTTGTTGGTCGTGAGCTCACAAAGAGAGTCGATGTCAACAGGGAAGAGGTTAAGGAATCCTGGAATACTCTAACATTCTGTGGTCTGGCAAAGGAAACCAAATAAAAGTGACTAATGAAGTAGGGGAACTGAACTCCACAAAGCAAGAGGATTGTGTGTCCAGAGGAATGAAACGATTCAACTCTGTCAAATGCTGCTTGTAAGTTGCGTAAGATGAGGACTGAGAATCAACCGTCGGATTTGACAGTGAGTGAGGAAGTCTTTACAAATTTTATTAGACATTTTTATGAAGTGTTAGGAAAAACTCTTTGTTAGAATGGGTCTTAGAGAAAACAGGAGAGGAGAAATAAGAAACAGCACCTATAAACATTCTTTTGTAAGGGTATGCTACAAAGGAAACTTAAAAATGAGAGGTAACTAAATGAGAGGGGGATTTTATTTCACTTTTTTTTTAACTGTGGAGTGTATTAAAGCATATTTGTAAAATGACCATTATAATTTGGATATGGAATGTTCTTTGAAGGCCCATGTGTTAAAGACTTGATGCCCATCTTGGTGCTTTTGGGAGGTATGTTAGTCACCTTTCTATTATTGTGTTAAAATATCTAAGAATAGGTTTATTTTGGCTCACTGTTTCAGGCCATGGTCAGATGGCTCCATTGCTTTTAGGACTGTGATGAGGCAAGATTCACTTCATAGTGGCCAGGAAGCAGAGAAAAAGACAGAGAGACAGAGACACAGAGACACAGACATAGAAACAGAGAGGCACACAGAGAGACAGAGACAGAGACAGAGACACACAGACAGAGGAGGCCAAAGAGAAAGGGTCGGGAGCAAGTTATACCCTTCAAGGGCATACTTACAGTGACCTGCTTCATACAACTGGATCCCACCTCTTAGCCGATCATTCAGGTAATGAGCTCAGCAGTGGATCAAGCTACTTGATTGAATTAGATCCCTCACCATTGAGTCAGTTCCCCAAAGCCCATCAGATGACAACCAAACTTTCAGTGAGCCTTCAAAAGGACATTCAGATCCAAACCATGACATTTAGAAACTTTAAGAGGTGGGGCTTAGTGGGAGGTCTGGTCATGGTGGGGGCAGAAGAGAATAGTGAGAGCTCAGTCCCTTCTTCCTCCCTTTCGTGCCCAAGTGATAGCTGAGCAGCTTTGTTCTACCTTGTGCCCTCACCACGATTTGCAGACACAGCTCCAAAGTAATGCGGCCAACTGATCCTGAACTGAGACTTCCAAAACTGTGAGCTAACGTGAACCTTTCCTCTTTATAATTTATCTCGGGTGTTGGCTATAATAACATAAATCTATCTAAGACAGTGGCACAAAAGATTCAGCAGACACAGCGAGATCCATGGTGTAGGAGAGAGAGGGGACATTACCTGCAGCCATGTCCCTAAGGAAGTGAGGGAAATAAATCTGGGTGACTGTGGAGGGTGGATGGTGGGCAGATAGAAAATCTGTAGATATGACCAGAGGAAAGAGGAAGAGAGTGTGCATGTGCAGGAGGTGGGCAGGAGCCAGGTGGAAGTCCTTTTGTGACTGCTGCTCTTTTATCAGTGAAGAAGCAAAGTGAACAGCAGAGTGACGGAAAGAGTGGAGTACTGGAACTCTGAAAGAGACGAGAAGGTATAGCATTGTCATCTAGGAGAACCGAGAGTGAAAGGAGTAGGAAAAATTACAGGAATTCTGAACAGCCCTTGGGGCTTACTTGGAGTTGGCAGTCAGGAGCTTAGAACAAGATTTGTCACCATGTATGTTACCTTTTTTTTTGGTAGGCAGTTGAACTCGGGACCTTGTGCTTGTAAGGGAGGTGGCAGAACCACTGAGCTAAATTCCCAGCCCATATGTTAAGTTTTTTTCTCCAGTCATCTTTGGAGTGCATGGTGGTTGGATTGGTTTTTGGTTTTGTTTTCCCTTGAGCATGGCAGGAAAAGAGGGTCTGTGCAAAGCAGTGCATATGTGATGGCTCCTGGATTTGGGGAAGGGTAATGAAGCACAGAGAGAAGGCAGTGTTAACAGTGGATTGCACATGCTGGGAGGGTTGCTGGAGTATGGATAGGAGAGTAGGAGACAGTGACTTCAGAGTTGTAGTGTTTGAGATAGAGGCAGAAGGGCAGTGGGAGACTGAGATGGAGTGGAGCATGAGGTCACTGCAGGAATAGAGTCCTGAAGAATGATGAGGCTAGGTGTGAAAAAATCACCTAAGTGATTCCTGACAGCACAAACGAACATGGCAGCTACAGTAGAGTGACAGCAAACCAGGTATTAACTGATATTTTTAGGAAGGGACATAATAGCCTGGGCTCCAAATTTAAGGGAGTTTGGAGGAAGGAACAGTAGTGACTTGTAAAATTATAAATGTAAGATCCTGACTGTAGATTTTGCCAACTCTGTTTAATATGTATAGAACACAGGAGATGAAGCTTAAAATAGTTCATGGTGGGGCCTGGGAACAGTGAGGGTTATAATTAACTAAATATGAGTATGGTGAAATTACTAAAATATCTTCTGTAATTCCAGGCAGTATGAATAGAAAGTCTCAGGTGCACATTATATGAGGGGATAGTTCCCTCAGATTGTGGTCTAAGCAATCCAGTTTTAAGTCTTACACCAATAGGGCAAGTGCCATGCTTTGGGAGATATTGATGACCTCAAATATGGGGGTAAAAGGGAAGATTAATGAGGATTTTGGAAAGTGCAAGTGAGAAATGGCTGAAAGAAATGAAGGATTTTTAGCAAGAATAAAAGAATTTTAGGCATTGTGACATTTAAATCCCGTACTATAAGATGTTTCATGAGCGAAGGAAGATCAGGCCCACGTGATTTCCCAGGCAAAAGTGGGACTAGCGACTTGGAGAAGCCTGTCTCTGCTTAATGAAAGAGACTATTCTAGTCATTAGAACTGACCGGAAAAGAGATAGACATCTCCTAGTTTCTAATGTTCAAGCAAAAGTGAGGTTGCTCTTTTGATGGGAGAATTTAGAAAGCAGGGTATTAGCTATGCAAAATATTTACACCTTTCTAACAGAATGGCAACCTAACTTTACATTGTCATTACTGCTTTACATTGTATTGCATATTTCTCAAAAATGAAGAGTATACTAATGAAAGAAGTGTTTATTGTAAAACATAGTTAGCTCAAAATGACTGCTTAAAATGCATTCTCCACAAAACTGTGGTGCTCTTTAACTTCTTCTTTAATTGTTCATTGAAAGAAAAGTCCATAAGGTAACTTTTGGATCTTAAGAACGTCACAATTTTATCAATATTGAAGTATTAACCTAAATATGAGACATATTATCCAAAAGTATCTTTCTTTTATTTATTCTTTTTCCTAAACTATTTCTTCATCTTTTACACTGGATCTTGTTCCATAAACTTTCAACATAAAGTGTTCTAAACTGTTTTGGAAATTCATTAAGTAAGTCTGCAATACTAAAATCACCATCTGACTTGCTCCTTACTCCTCTATCTGTGTATTCAGGGCAGATTATTCACTGTAAATCATGTTTTATAGTTGCCATATGAATTACATTTTCTGCTAGAACAATTTTACTTTCTAATTTCCGTGTCCAATGCCCACCTGAATTGTCTAATTCATATATGTATGAGATTATTAAACCAATTATGAACCAAATTCTTGCTTCCTGTCCTGAACATAGAGAATTTGTTGAATATCTTACATCCTTTACAATCCCCAATTTGTTTTATGCACTCATTTAGGAAGAGAAAAACAACTCATGTCACAGATAATTGTGTGTGTTTGAGTTATGCTGATCTAAATGATAGGCATAGGAATAAAAACCAATGTCATGTCTACCTTTGGCATGAATTTTTCAACTCTGAAAAACTAGTTTCTCAAAATGTAGTCTGGGGACCACTTGTTCCAAGATCACACTAGTGATTGGGGAAAAAGCCGACCAAATGCAGGCTAAAGCTTTAAGACACACCTGTTTATTGAACAGCTGTCATTCTGCCAGAAGTATGAGGAACAGAGGAGCATAGATGATGTCCCTCCTCCCTGTTTTCTCGTGAGCTTGTTACTAATTGGGAGGTATTGGGGCTTACACAAAACAAAGGTAAACAACTCAGGTCAGAGTGCAGCGAGGGTAGATAGATGGCATAGACCCTATATGTGACAAAAATCATTTGTATGGGTTCCAAAGTGCCCTGTGTCTTGAAGTGGGTGAAGTACAACTTACAGTTAAGCGGTAGATAGGATAGGATAGAAACAGGTAGAAGGAAGAGAGAGGCAGGCTGAGTGGAGGAGAAAACATGGATGATGATATGGGCATGAGCAAAGGTGAGGTGCTTCACCTGCCCATCCAGGTGAAGAAGAAACAGATCAGGGGGCTTATTGGCTACTCACAGAACTCTAGACTCTTTTTATGTGGGTTTTGGGATCTTTGCAGATTCATGTACAGGGGAGGTAACCAAGAGCTGTGTTACAGGAGGTAAGTCTGACAATGGCATAGATGAACTCAGTGGGGGCAATCCCGAAGCCTTCAGGCTTTGCTGAAAGGTGGTTGACCCTATAACATCAAATTGAAGGCTTTGAATAAGTAACAGTGGGGCTAAAGAGGGAAGTGCATGCAGAGAGACACGAGTGGCTTCACAGGAACTTTGAATAGGCTTTGTGACAGAGGATGGGGGGGATGAGCGGAGGAATGGGTCAAACATGAGTCTAAAATTCTGTGTCCTATAGCAAGGAGAAAGTTGGTGCTCCAGAGATGGGGAGCAAGAAACATGAGGGCAGCGAGGATCATGAGTTCAGTTTTAGTCATACAGGGCTTGAAATGGTGACAGGCCATTTGAGTGGAAATCTTTCCTTGCAGCTGTAGAGAAGTGAATAAAGATCAAAACAAGATTGTTGGTATAGACTTAGCAAAGTAGAAGAGAAGCAATAGAATAAATTAATTTTTGAAAGAGATTGTGTAGAATTGAAAGAACAGAGGGCTAAGGATTTAGCAAAAGCTCCAGTCTCTCACTAGTGAGTGGCTTCAGGCAAGTCACTTAACTTCCATAAACCTCAAGTTCTGTGTCTGTACATATGGTACCAAGTCTTGTAGAATGCTTGGCAATCAAATGGCAGCTACCTTATTGTTTCAGTATTATATATTTTTTTCTTTTTCTTTCTTTTGGTACCGGGGATTGAACACGGGTCCTTGTGAATGCGAGGCAGGTGGTAGAACCACTGAGCTAAATCCCCGGCCCATGTCACAGTATTAT